AAGTAAAATAATGTGTAAATTAATGCATGAGACAGAGATTAGATGTGTTCTGCTTATAATTCCTACCTCGAAAAGCATTGAAGCAAATCTTACCTTCACTCTTCTTGCCAGACTCAGGTCACCTAGTACACAGCAGCCCACTTTCCAGCCTTTGCCCATCATTATCTGTAAGTAGGTAGGCAGAAATATTTACATGCATTAAAATGAAACAAGAATGTAGATCACATTCAAAACATCCACTGTGTTACACTAGCAAAAGTTTGGGTTCTTTAAAATGTATGTAAAATAAACATAAAGAGTGAATGAAATGTGTTTCTGAACAGGGAATAGGGAAACTATCATCCTAAATATATCCAAATGAGATCTAATGGAGAAACACAAGGGGCAACCAAAATAAGCACAACAGCAGTACTTCGAACAGAAACAATGTTTTCAATGGCAGTTGTTCTCTCTGTTCTTTTCCCAAGGCAGGTATAAAGGCTACAGCAGCCAATTCATTGCATTAGGAATGCTCTGTGCTATTACTGTAGCAATGTTTCTAGTGCGTCCAGTTATTACTGAATTTGTGTATTAAACGACCAATGGGACAAAAATTTGAAATCATGCCTGGAACTTTTGTTCTGGGGCAACAAAAATAAATATGAGGATGTTCTATTAACTAAGGAATAATAGAAGTCGCATGGTGCTTTACAAGGCAGAAAACCAGTTCCCAAGTGACTAAGACAAGAGGCCAAAAGACAGTTTATCCAAAGATGGAACCATATTCTCAATGAGAAAAGTAGCACAAAGCTTCTGTTTTCAGTCATATTATACAAAGGGTCTGAAAGATTGTGATTCTTTTAAAACCCCTGCCTGAGTTTCATTCACACAAGTCTATTGTCCCTGCAGGAGCCTAGCCTGTGTTGTATACTACAGCAGCTCTACAAGTAAATCAAACAGCTGGTGTGTTCCCCTCCCAGTACCTCTGAGGGCATCACACCTTACACAGGATTCTATGGAATCTGCTTCAGATCAGATATTCCCTTCAGTCACTACCACTCAGCTAGTACATCTCCTCAGCTTCACATTCTGAGTGCCTTTCGAGTCAGAAGAGTGCCGCCTCTTCTCCATCAAGGTTCCCTATAAGCTGCGCGGCAGCACAGCCCCATAGCTGCTTGTAGCACAGGACTGGGCACAGGGCTGCCGCGCACGGAGCTGTCTGGCTGGGGGATAGGCACTTCTCCTTCAGCTACAGCGGCAGCTCCCTCAGCAGGGCGGGGCTGATTAAGCAGCTGTGGGGCTGTACTGTCGTGCAGCTTAGAGGGAACCTTTCTCTCCGTGCATGAATATTTTTGCCTTTCTTCACTTTAACTTAATGTTTGCCTCTGTGGACTGATGCCAGTCTCATTACCTGGTCTTCATCCAGAGATTGTGATGAGAGAGACACTGATGGCTCTTTGTTCCTTATAGGAGAGACATTCTGTTTATTTCTGTTTGACAACTCCAGCAATGAAAATGTATTTTCTATGGACTCCATTTGAGATACTTGGCTTTTCATTTCCAATTCTTCTGCAGAGAGAAATCATAGCGCATTAGAAAACATAATACACACTCCAAGAAAAAAAAAGAGGTCCATAACAAATGCACATTGTATCTTGTTGGAACACACATTATTACTGTAACTGCTTCTTTTGTCTATTCAATATCATTTTCCATTCATACTTGGAGCTTTTGATACGTGCGTGTGTTATGACATGAACTGTGTGATCTTTTTCATGAAACTGAATAAATATTTTGTATATAAAAAACACAAATTCCCCTTTACTCTTGTTCTCCAAGTACCCACTGTTATTGTGTCTCATTTTCTGTACAGAAAACCAGATGACAATAACACAGTGAATGGAAAACAGAAAAACAAAAGCCCAGTTCATGTTGAAGGATGCTACTTTGTTCTTCATTTAAACACTTCTGTTCAGAGGGTGGTCACCATGTATATGCTGTACAAAATGACACATACTTGTATGCATAACCTCACTTGGCAAGTGAACACAAAGAATCAGAACGTTCTGTGATACCAATGAAATACATGAATTAACTGCATGTAATTCAAAAGAATTTCATCCGATTTATACCAATATAACTCAGACAAGGATATGAATCCTGCTCCTAAACACTGGTGCAAACTCCAGCAATTATCAGTCTTCTTTCAATAATTTAACACATGTAAAAGCTGCATTTCCAAAACCCCACTGGCCATTTCTCATGCTGCCTTCTGCACCAAGAAGGCCATCCTCCTCCCAATATGCTAAGTAATTTCCATCTCTTCCTTCATACCACTAAAATGTTAGAGCATCTTCTTGCTGTGCAAATGGGAAAACTCTAACTTTGACCTGGATAAAGTGATGACCAGGAGAGAGGAGTAATTCTTGTACTTCCTATCTTCTCCTCTAAAGTGAAGGCCAGGTCAAGCATCTGCTCTCACATATGTGGCTCTGGAGACAATCTAGGAAAATCCATTGGTGTCTAGAGAAGAAATACAGCTCTGAAGTTTCTTGTCAGCATCATTGCTACTGTGGGTGTCTGAAGTCTCATTGCAGAATTCAAGCCCCTTCATGGACAATGGTTCTGTTATCTCTGCCTGTCTAGGACAAGAGATTCTAGTGTGGGCTTGTAGCCTACTGTTACCCACAGTGCAATGGCTATCAGGAAGGAGGTGTGGGGGGACAAATGCTATAACTAGATAATAGGAGGGAAATGTGGAGGGGCCCCAATGGAGGAACAAACTAGATGACAAACCACCTGCAAGTATTATGATTGAGGATCCCCATGGGACAAGGTTAATATTCTATCCTGTATTGGTACACCCACATAGAGGCTACATTGGGAATTACTATGTTCACCCTTGTCTGTAACTTGTAAGTTGCTGTACCTAATTTATTTGCTTCCTTTTCTTCTTTGCAGCCCTAGTAAAGAATGCTTTCATCTGAACTGAAACAAAAGACAGGACTATGCAGCACTTTAAAGACTAACAAGATGGTTTCTTAGGTATTGGTTCACTTTTTTTTATTGTATCACTTTGGTATATATGGTTGTGCCAATTTTCTTCCACATATTGATCTGAGGAAGTGGGTCTGACCCACGAAAGCTCATCACCTAATAAACCATCTTGTTAGTCATTAAAGTGCTGCATAGTCCTGTCTTTTGTTTCAGCCAGACCAGACTAACATGGCTGCATCTCCATCATTCATCTGAACTGTGCGTGAGAGTGCTTATTGGGACCTCTCCAATATAGAATGAATGAATGCAGATCGCACTCTGCATTAGCATGGTCCTAATTTGGTTTTCCACAGCATTCCTGAAACCCCATCTGGTTACTTGCTGCTTGGTAGACAACAGTCAGACAGGATGCCTCTACTGATCTTGTTCGTGAGTGCAAAGATTAAGTAGGTTCTCTTGAAGGACTTCTCTGGTACTGAAGATTAAATTAGAATAGTGGGACTACTCTGACTTCTGAGTGGGATTCTTAAGTACTCACCACTGGCCTCAGTCTGCATCCCAATGAAGTTTTCACATTAATGATGAGGATTTTGAAAAGACACCAATGACTTTCATTTGACTTTAATTAGTAGATGGGTGACACCTCAGGCCTTTTGTGCCTGTGAAAATTTCCCCAACTTCAACAGGAGTTAGGAAACTGGGAATGTTTCTATGGTGCATCTGCTGAGGTAGGACTGACCAGATTTCAGCCATGAAAGCGCAGCCTAGGCTTTCCTGGAAATCAGAGCATGTTTAATAACCAGCTTACTGACTGCTGACCATGCACTGAACAAAAAGAGGGCTTTCTTTTTGCACCACTACAAAAAATATTTTGGAGGCTTCCAGGGGGGAAATCGTGAAGTGTAACTATTCTCTTTTCCTATAAAAAGTTACATTATAAGTTATTAAATGGCTTTGAGAACAACAGGCATAAATGCATGTCTCACTTCATGCCAAGAGCCAGCCCATGCTCATAATGCACAATCTAACGTTCTACCTTATTTTTAATTGGAAAATTATATTTTCTAATAAAAAGAAGCTGTCCACAATGTATTTCTAAGGCATGATTAAGTGTCTCATGCATTTAAAGTCACTCATACATAATAACACCACTCAATGCGCAGTGTGAATGGAGCATTTTCCAAGAACTTAATGACAGCCTTACAGTTAATATTCACAGCAATCAACTCTCCCAGTTATTTATTAATCCCTAGAGGCACCTCTGTGCTCCAGTCATTATTGTGTACAAATCATGACAATACTATGACCAACCCTGCAGTCCTCGCTCATATAAGTAAAGGCTGCAAAAATATAGGTTGTACCTCCCTGAACAGGCACCCTGAGGACCTGACTGGGCCTGAACCAGGGAATCGGCCAGACCAGAGGAGGTCAATGTTAGCCTCTCTTCTACCACTGACCCCTGTGGCCGCCAGGATGCACTCCCCACCCTACCGCCGACCACAAGACTCCACAGCCACCTTGCCTCTTCCCTGAATACACGCCCCACCCCGCCCCGCCCCAGGCCCTGCCCGGTCAATGTCAGCCCCTCAGCTGGCACCGTAGGAAGAAGTGCTTGGGGGGAGTCAGGGTGGATGTGGAGCCCCAGGAGCACAACAGAAACATTCTCTCTGATGTATGGCTCAAGATTCTCTGAGCATTTCTTGCCCCCTAAATATCCCCCTTTGACACTGGTCTTTGCACTGTTCTTTTATAACTACACAGGCTTCTTTTTTTAAACAGTGTTTGAAGAAAAAATGACACAAGGGCATTCCCCACTTACTCTCCTCCCCACTGTCTCTTTTTTCAAACCAATGAAACAACTTTGTAACTCTCATGGGGCACCTTTATACTTAGTGCAAGATTGATGCTCCCAAGCATTTGATGTAGCGGATCTAGTATGGAACACTGAGGGCAGTCCCCACTGGCGTAAGA